TTACCTTGTTACTTTTGAGGGAAACTTTCAGCGCTCTAATTTTTTTTTTTTTTTTTTTTTTTTTTTTTTTTTGTACTTAGCTTGCATTTTTACGTTTACGATGCTTTATGGAAAATATAAAGAAATTAAAAATAAGACTGTTAATAGTGAGATTAAATTTCATAAGAAAAAGGTATCTAATTAATTTAGGTACCTTTCTTATGAAATTTTATCAGAAGTGTACATAAAATACTATAATTTTATGTACATTTATTACATTTTACTGTGTTATTTGTATTTCCATTCATTTTATTATTAATTTTGATATTTCATTTATGGAAAAAATGTCATAACTGAGATTAATATAAAAAATACGATCATATAAATTAAAGTTTAGCAGTAGTTAAATTTCATAAGATGATATTGTTACTTGTAGGTACCCTTCTCAGTTGAAATTGAAAACTCAAATTAATTTCTCCATACGTGTTTCGCAAAAAGTAAAGGGCTTAACAGCGGAGAACAATGCTGAACTCAAATAATGCAACTAAATTGTATTCTGGTTGGTCTTCCGTACTTGATAATTACTGTCCGACTATAAACACAAAAATTACATTTCTTAATTACCATGGCTAATCTGATTGGTCCAAATTATACAATTTTCAAAGCGCTAGACAATGACAATCTCACACGGACATTTTGAAAGGTTGATGTTGCTTTTAACTAATGTTAAAATATTTTTAAAAATTCAATTTAAACATTTTTTAAAAATCTTTTTAAAATTAAAGAAATAAGAAATAATTGTATTAAAATTCAATTTTCATTGAAAAAAATTTTTTTTTTTTTCAGAAAATATTGTCCATATTCATAAAAACAAATTAAAACAAATAAAAGCATTTGAAACTAAATAATATATTTGTTTTATTGAGTTTTGTATGTTACAATTCACAGCTGATTTTCAGGTACGTTGGCCAAAAAAAACAAAAAACAAACAAAAAAAAACATGATTTGCATTCTTCAAAGCCTTGTGCTTTTAACTATTGTAATCACTAAAACCGATGGTCTTGAATTTCTAGAGTTTTTCATAAAATTAGTTATGAGGGTGTTAATAAATATAAAAAAAAATATTTCTGCCATGACTTTAATAAAAAAAAAATATTTATAATAATTTCGATCATCTGTGAATAGTTTCTGAAAGTTTCATTAACATCTGACAATTATTTTTATTTTTGCAAGATTTTCCAAATTAATGTGTGTAAATACAAAAAAATGCGCTAAAATTATCTATGTTATTTACTACCTCTTGTTGCGACAAAGAGAAACAAGGTTTTTTTCAATCAAAATTTAGAATATTCTAAAAGATGGAAAAATTTTTTAAAATAATTAAAAAAATTTAGTCTATCCTCTTCATAAAAAATAAGCATTTTGACGATAAAATTTTGTTTTCATAAACTTTGACGTCTTTTTCATCAGACTATGCTCTATGTTTTAGCAATTCCGTGGAGTGACTTAGGTTAAAAACCCAGGTTGTGTGTGTGTGTGTGTGTGTGTGTGTGTGTGTGTTCCTTTATATATGGGATCGGATTTCTTACATTTTCAGCCGATAAAACAAACATCCACTTTTTTTTTTTCAGGTAGTATTTCTTATTGTCTTGCACACTTTTTTCTTTATTTACATTCAGAATGCTTTAAAAATTCCATTTACAAGACAATTGTTTATAATAAAATTCTATTCTCCAATCGATAGACTCATAACGATTGTAAACAATGTTTTTGTTTGAATTTGGGTTTGACCAATTCGTAAAAAAAAAAAAAAAATCTAATTAAGACATGCGTGTCCGTCAACCTTAAACAATAATCTTTATCAATTTTATTTTTCAGTCTTTATGATGGTCGATACTTGATCTATCTCTTACTGTTACATCCCCAGGCAACGCCGGGCTCTACTGCTAGTATATATATATATTTATGCCTATATATATATATATATATATATATATATATATATATTTATGCACATACATGTAAGACAAATATATCAAGCAGGTTTTGCATTTGTTAATAGTGAAATGTATATCATAATCCCTGTTATATTAAACCTTGTGCTGTATCTTGAGCCATCCCCAATCAATTTCCCAAAAAGGATTTATATAAAACTTATTATCTCGGTGAAAACTGTTGAATCTTCTTTTTTACTAATTTCCATAATCATTATGTAATTGATAAAAGGTAAAACAAGAAAAGACATTTAAACTTTTTATATTTAAACTTACTGATATTTTTTATGAGAAATAATTTAATTATTATTCTTTTCCAAATGTCAGTATAATTTCAATAACACTATTTCTCATGAATTGATTTTAAATGAATTAATGAAACACTTGAATTTTGGACAAATATCAAAAAAGAATTTTGGAAAAATCATTTTTTTATTCATCTATTTTTATGATTTTGTTTTTTGTATGGAGCAGATATAAAAAGTATTTAACTGTCACAGTATAAATTAAATTTTGCTCCTCATCCTTTTCTTAGTTTACGGACATTATATTTTATATTTTTGGAATTATTGGCATTAAATAAAATAATGTGAAAATCTTAGAAGATTATTTGAAAAAATTCTTTTGATCATTCAACAAAGTTTTCATAGCATATAAGTTATCATATACATATATAAGAGTGGAAGTTTTAAGAGATACTCATTATCAAATGATAAAGATGTTTTTTCTTCCCTTATTATAGACTCAAGAACACAAATAGCAGCAATGACAGGGACTATTTTCAATAGGCAACAACAATCTCTTTTTTATGCTTTTTCTTTTCTTTCTTTTTAGTCCTTCAAATCAAAACAAGTTGGTTCACTGACTTTTAAAATTACCAGTTCAGACTGATTTGTGAAAGTTATTTTTAGTCGACAATTATGTGCTAATATCATTTAATTCAACAAAAACACAAGGAAAGTATGTTAGAGCAATTATCTTGAAGAAATTTGTTTGAAATAAATTGTCTTTTTGTTAATAAACATTAGAAAAAAACAGTTGATAAAATCATTCCATCATTTTTAAATACGCATCTGTCTTTTAAGACAATCGCAATCAATCTTTGTCTACACTATTATTTGCTCAGTCAATAGGTTCTTTCTTTCTTGCTTTCTTAAAAACTCTCTCTGCTTCAACTCCCTTTTCACAATATCTTTTCCCACACATTATCTCTTGTCTTCTGTTGTCATTGTCTCTCTTTCTCTTTTTACATTTCATCAGTATGAAATCTCCACTCTCTCAGTTTTGCTGTTTCTTTCTTTCCTAAAATTCTCAGTAAATAAATTTATTTATTGTAGATTTAGTCTTGTCATGAAACAAACTCTTACCAGAAAAACAATCTAATATTGCTTGAATGTAGAAGACATAAATAACAGTAAAAATCCTTAGGATGTTTAGATTGGGAAAATGCAAATGATAAAACTTGAATTATGCAAAAATTCACTTAAAAATTAATAAAAATTTAGTCACAAAAATGAAAAAACATTGAAACAGAAAACTGAGACAAAGTTGGTTGTTATTCAATAAATATTTATACAAGATTACAATAAAACCATAAATGTATGTAAATTTCAAATAAATTATAAAACACTTGTAATGAACCTGATTTAATTTTTTTCTTTTATAGATTGTCACAAGTTAAAGACCAATAAGATGTTGTGCAGCACTTCCCTTAATTTATTAAATCTGCTGTCTACATACACATTTCAAAACATATAGTGGTGGGTGGTGGTGGGTGTTGGTGGTGGTAGGTGCCAAATGAATATACCACTGGTCTTGTACTGAAGAGAGTTTTCATTGAAGAAATACTAAAATAATAATGAATGGAAGAAAAGTAACTTTTTATTCATTTTATGAGTATTCTTTTACTCTCTCGTGTCATTTGATAATACTGAAAGATATTTATAAATATTGACACATGGTAAGTGAATTCCTTTTGTTAAGATGTATTTAAATGATACAAAAATTCTTAAATGTTGACTTTTAGTTTCCCTGACAAATTCAGAAAACAAAAATTTTACAGTAAGTAGAACACAAGAAAGTGTCTTAAGTACATGACAATTTCAAACTCTGACAGTCATCATGGAGATCACCTCTTGCTATGAATAAAGAATATTAAAGTTTTTTTTTATTGGTTATGGTTTTCCAGATTTCAAACTTCTTACTCAGGCAAATATAAATATAGAAATGCTTTATCAGAATGAAACAATGAATATCATCACAGAGGCAACAGGACAAGATCTTTCATCTATCATAATTTTCTGTTAATTCTGTTAATATCATCTTAAGATTAATGTTACATGTATAATTAATATTTGATATTTCCAGCAAGAAGAAACTGGTAACTTATTCAAACTGTATTTCATTATTAACCAAATGATTTTTTTTGATGGCATCCAAAATGGTTAGATAGTTTTTGGTTTACTTAAAAAGACCTTCAACTTTTCTTTATAATTATACATTTTATGATCTCTGCTTATAATGTGACAATAAACCTTTATAAACTATTCCTTTGGTTTCAAGAATCATTTTTTTCAGTAAGAAAGACTAAAGTTTAATACAATCACCTGCTTCCTTGTTTACCAACACCTTGTTTAAATGAGATAATTACTTTCATGCCAATATTTCATTGATCACCTCTAAATATAATATTCACTACAAACATTGCCTTGTTTTAATTTCATTTTGCAATAATAATGCAAGTTTATTTTTCCAATATCATTCTGCCACACTTACGTTTTGCATAACTGACTATAAGATCTGAACTTTTTGCATAACTGACTATAAGATCTGAACTTGTACAAGAATATTTATTACCATGTATTGTTTCTTTTCTTTTCTGCTAATGCACACAAAAGATTTTATTGATGTGAATAACTTTTAACATAATCAATAGGATATTTTTACAAATCTATCAATTTAAAAAATAATACAGCTTAGAAAAAAAAATTATTTTTGCTAAATATGTAAGAGAATTTTAAAACTTACCATCATCCTTCTCATCATCTGACTCTTTATCATCATCATTGTCATCATCTTCAAAGTCACGTTTCATGCCAGTTTTGGAGAGATCCCTAACATGCCCATTGATGTGCAAATTTAGAGGTTTGTGACCTGAATTCAATAAATTAGTTACTAAAATTATCAAGGAATTTTGCAAAGTGAAAACATTTTATAACCATGAAAAATACACTTTTAAAGGCAAACAGTTATATTTTCATATATACAAAAGCAAAAGATTTGTTTGCATATTTGTGAAGATAAGAGCAAAATTAAGAACATTACAAAATAGAAAATATCTCAAACAAAAAACTGAAATAGAAAACATGAAATGCATAATTCTTTTTTTAATTTAGATTTATTTTAGGTTTAATGTTTAAAATAATGCAGACTTACTGCTATTTAACTAAACCTTTCATTTTATAACACTATATTCACAGTCTTTTGTAGATTATTTCTTTGTTATTGACCTTACCAAGAAGAAAAGAAGCATAATAAATTTAAAGAAATTAAGATCATTTTTAAAAATGCAGGTTGATGATACATGGAGATCTGTGTGCAAGTTTCAGTATAAGTTTTCAGAAAACCCAAAATGAAAAAGTTCAGAAACATTATCTTACTTTGATCATTCTGTGCCAAAGTCTGATATGGCTTGTCAACCATGTGATGTGAAACTTTGTCTGTTAGTTTTAGAGCTACATCTGATCTTTCATCATTGGACCTGTAATGAAAATAAGATTCTGAAAGTTCAAAGAATTGCCTTGATAATAAACTTTGCATGAAAAAGAAATGAAATATAAATAAGCCATGAATTGGTAACTTTTATACCAAATGCAGTCAGATTTTTTTAAAAGTTAATAATCAATATTTTTCTGCAAATCCTAGGCATTTGGTAAAATGTTCATATGAAATAAATAACAATTTTGCAGAAAAAAGAAATATTAAAATATTCAGCAAAAAGGCATAGAGATATTTAAAACTATTTTCAAAAAAATAAAGTTTTCTACATAAAATTAATTTTGCACATTGATGTTAACCTGTAAATTCCATGAAATTCTGAGAAAAGAAGTCAGTTTGCCAGCAGATTAATGATGAGAAAAATATTTTTCCATAACAAAAAATACTACATATCTATGCATAACACTTTCAGAATAAACTGTTAAAAAGTTCCACTTTTTTAATTAATTCAGTTCATATTTTTTACTTTATTCACATTCTGAATTTATTAAAAAATCATTTGTTAATTCTAAATAAATGTCAGACAAGAATAATATTCTTTGAAATATAGAAAACAATTTTTTTTTATTGTATTTACATTAAATCAATTCATATTTCTAATGCATGCATTAAATTTTTAGTGCATAAAATTTTTCAAGAAACAGTTTAAGTTGCCTTAAAATTTATTAACTCACCAAATTAAAATAACAATACTACCTCACCTACATTAAATATCATATGAGTAAATGTATTATGAAGATTTTAAGACAAAACTCTCAATATGCAAATATATAACAACATAACAAAACAAGTGATAAACCAAAACTAGGTTTGGTTTGGTTTGGTTTGGTTTATGACATATCAACCTCAATGGATTATTTAGTGCCAACAAGATTTTTATTGGTAATATTTTTCCAAGAATGTATTGCTGGTATTTTTTTTCCAAAATATATTGCTGGTAATAAATTTTTTTAAAAAAATTCATTGCTGGTAATATTTTTACAAAAATGTATTGTTGGTATTAAAACCTATTTTTATACTTTTATAGTTTTTTGACCCCAGTTTGGGGTTTAATTATTTGCCCATAGCTGGTACCCTAACAGGTGCTACCATCATAGGGTGTACCTGGGAACACCAGCAATTAAGAGGTGGCTCCATGTTCCTCAAAACCTCCTGATCAGAGGCCTTGCTGTTGGATGTAGTTTATGCCAAAACTAGGTACATAAGCTTTTACTACCATTTTATAATAGAGTTGATCCTTGAAATATAAACACCACGTAAATATATATGCCTCATTGCAGTAGGTTAATAAATTTTTAAAATCGATCTTAATGTTGAAATAAAAATTTTCATTTTTATCTCAAAAGGAGTTCTGACTAAAAAGTTCACAATTTTCTATTGACCATCAATCCTTAGTTTTCATATTTAACATTGCATTGTGTAGTTTATTACATGAACATTATTGAATTTGCCAACATAAACAATCAGCATGCATGTTTCATTCTCTTTACTTATTCAAACATTACTTCTTATTATAGATGGATAGTCAAAGTAATAACTTCCTCTTTATTTCTTTATTAACATGTTTACATATTTACAGGTGAGTTTATATGATGCCAAACTTAAGTGGTTACCTATAGTGTATTGCCATGCTAAAAATCATTGATGCATGTGTATATAACAAAGTAGTTCTCATCATATTACTACACTCATGACAAAAGGCAATCAGAGAATAGCATAATCAAACCATTGAAGAAAATGTTTCTAAAAGAGATTAAGAAAGATATAAGCTAAATGTTGGAACTGATTTATCTTTGTTTTGATGGATAGTCTTTTGATAAATATCTCAGTGTTTCTAATAAAAACAAAGAGTTGTCATAGAAAATTCAGTTACTGTAATGATTCATTGCTCTAAAGTGAGAAAGTTTATCAATTAAACTGATCCCTAATAAAAAGGCAACAAATCTATATTTATGGTCAGACAATATCTTATGGGTAGCAGTAGTTAAAAAGCAAACATATCAAATGGAAATGCAGTAACATTTTTTGTATAATTTTGTTGTCCTATCCTTTGATTCAATCTACTTATCGTACACAAGCTGTTTCAGATTGTCTCTAAATATGAGGGCTTAGTAGAATAGAAGAAAGAAATGACTAATAAAAAAAGGAAGTGTTCAGGCTTCTGTTAAGAAAAAAAAATAAAGAAGAAGGAAGTGAATACTTATACATTTATGAAAATATGTGCATTTAAATGGCCAGTTTTGTAAGGTTGTCAGATACAGACATGAAGCCACAAAGAAACAGAAACACACAAAGTGAATCTGTAAGTCTGTCTTGTTTATCTTATCTGACAGCTGTAGATCAAAAGATCTGATTGGCTATAATGAGGTTTATGACATGATTGCTTTTATTTTCTTATTTTTATTTATAAATGAAGCAGTGAAGACAGATTGTCTAGTTGTCAAATGTGCTTCTTTAATGCAAATATAGAAGGTCTTTATGATTTAAAGAATTTATGTTTTTTAGTTATTGCTATAATTTTGTTTGGCAAAATGCTCAAGTGTGTTTTAAATATGTATTCTTTATCAGAGTAGAAATAACTGGTATGATCGCTAAGAAAAAAAAAAAACAAGTATTGATTATTTTTTTAAATTAAAATGATAACCATGTCTATTTTCCTTGTGTTTTGCAAATTTGATATATTTTAGTTGAATTTCTCTATTTGCTTCTTATGTTATGTTCAACAGCAAAAAGATTCCTCTTTTGCTAAATAATGGATTTGATTATGTGAACAATGTTCAAAAATAATTGTTCAAAATAATTAGTGGAAAAAACATTTATTTGAATTGTAAATGTTTTGAATGAAAATTAATTGAAAGGACAATTATACCAAATGATAATTACTTGGAATGCAAATATCATTAATAAAACAATTTAGTAAGAAAAAATCCTTATAACCTTAAGTTATATGATACTGCACACAAATAGTCAACTACTGAAGAGTACTTATTAAAGGATGCCATTAATTTTTTAAGTTTTACATTTACGTCATGATATTTCTTGGCACTCTTGATATTTTGGCAAACTGCTTTTACTTTTGCAATATGAATTTCTGGCAAGTCATGTTCTCTTTTAATAGCGTTTAAGAATTTCCATATTGTGAGATGAGGGGATGACACCCTTCAAGGTTGTTATTAGTTTTAGGTAACTCAACATTGACTCTCTTAAAGCAAGATCACATACATATTTCAAACATAGGTATTTTTAATAATTATCATTTAGTATAATTGTCCTTTTGATTAATTTTCATTCAAACAATTTACAATTTGGATAAATATTTTTGGATAATTTTTTTCAAATAATTGTTTTCAAACAATTATTTTTGAACAATTTTCTTGATACAAATGGATTTATATCATAAAATACAAGATCAGCTTTTTTTTCAATTTAACATTTGCAGTTAAAAAACATGTTCAGGTAAAGTAACATGTATTAATGGTGATGACAAAAACTTGTGTATTTTGTTTATAGTACACAACTATTGATCAAAATGTGTATGTGTATGTAGCTGAATATTTATATTTGTAGATCTTCTCCACTAGACATTAGAGATTGTTTGCTGTTTGTATGGCTGCTAACAAAATGCTTCTTGCCAGTCATTTACCACTGAACAAGAATAAATGAAGAAATCAATGATCCAATCAAAAGGTGGACCATATTATGGCTGATGTTCTCTTTTCAACTTCCTCTCCTCCATGACAGCTCGAAAAATTGTCAGAGAATGAGAGTCTCACAGCTTGTGCTGCTTGTCTTATAGTCCTTATTACAGCTATTAATATTGGGTAGCAGCTGTCTTTATCCAGCGCTAAAAGACTCTTTGATCACAACAGACAAATTGCATTATATTCCCTATTTTTTTATTCTTTTGCATTTTCTTTTAACTTCTCTGAAGCACCAAATGTCAAAGACAAGTGTGCAAATGTGTGTTGCTTGTGTGTGTGTGTGTGTGTGTGTGTGTGTGTGTGTATTTATACACATTCTCAAAGAAAAAAAATAAGGAATTAAAAAATTATCATGAAAACAAAGAAATGGATAATTTTATTATTCTCAAGAGAATGATCAATCAAAATTTGACGGTTTAAGAAAATAATGTTGATAAAACTATGTTCTTGCTTTCTAAAACTCCATTTAAATATAAATGAATTAGTAATTATTTGTAGAATATCTCAATATTATGCTGCCTATATCATTAACATCCATTATTATGTATTCAAATAAATGAAACTCAGATATTTTCTTTTATTATATGTACATTTCTACATGAAAATGAAACTTATTATTCTCATAAATTATTATTGTCATGCATATTTTCTATATGTGAAATGGATAAATGTTAAAAATTTATAAAAGAAACAGTTATATTTTTTGTGAAATTTGAATTGACTTGATTTCATTTTGAAGAGAAACTTTATCAAAATTTTATTATTGTTTATCTTTCTGATACTTTCCTGGCATACACCAAGGCAAAATAATAAAAAAAAACTTAAAAGAATTTTTAAATATTAAATTAATTTTGCTAAAATAAAAGGGTGAAATGAACATTTCCGTTAATAAAAGTATATATCATGAAAATTATAAAATGCATGTTTAAAGCATTTTGTATTGAATATATCAATACTATATTGTTAATCATTAAAAGTACAACTGTAATTCCTAATATAAGAAAAAACGGTTTGCAAAAGAAGCAAAAGTAACTGAGAACTTGAGAAGTAAATACAATAAATTTAAAAGCAATAAAGTAACTAATCTGTTTCTAAAAGTTTTATTTCAAAAGAAGAACATTTAAATTGCTCTAGTATTACTTGTATTTATTTGTTTTATTGTTAAAATGTGAATAAAATATATCACCTATCTTCACCATTTAGCATATTGGTAACTAAACTGTTCAATTTTATTCATGTATAATGACAACATTCATTGTATCCAGAGGCCTTAATTAATCAT